TCTCAAATTCCAAAGTGACGGATTTCTTTGCAGAATCAATTTTGGTAATTCTGGCAGATGTGTTTTGGAAACAAGGAGCATAGGACCAACTAATTGGCTTGCCATCAATTTTAGCATTTCCAATAAATGATGGAACCCAATTTCTTCTATGATCTGGAGGCATTGGATCTGAGCTACTTTTTCCAAATTGTGTCTTGATTGACTTGTTATTTTCTTTTGACAATTGCCACAATGCCTTCCAACTCATTCTCTTCATAGTTCTAGCAATTGATCTCGTTCTCACAAAATCACCCTTCCTTTCCACAAGCATGGTCTCCGTCTTGTGATAGAGTGATTCACTCTCAGTATAATATCCATTACTTGGTGATGCATAAATATTTCCTCTCTCGTGATGTTCTTTATGATGATGAATATTATTGTTACTATTCAATAATTGTTGGGTAAACTTATTAAAAGTTTCCTTGTTAGAAGTTACATAGGTGAGTGAAGCCTCTTCATGATGATGATCAAACATCGGAATGGTTAATTTTGCATTTACAATTACAATTGATAGAATCAATAGTACAATATTTATCCAATTATAAATAATAAAATTCTTCCCCCGCAACATCATCTCTCTCTTATATTGTATTAAAAAAGTGATGTTGTTGTTTTTTGCTTTGGAGTTTTTAAGATTTTTTTTAAAATTAGAATTGATTTGGATTCTTGAAGTTGTTTTACAAAATGGTTGTTGTAAAGTAGAGTCCAATTTAGCTGTTTGTATACAATGTGATATTTCATATATAGAGAATAAGGAATGTATTCAATAAAGATATTTTCCCATCCAGCAAGGAAACGAAAGATCTTGTGCTTGTGATTTAGTGGGGTTTATTGCTAGTTCCGTAATTAATGTTTCCAATAATTATTGAAGCTTTACATTTCTGAGATTTCCAATACTGGCTTGAACTAATTTACAATCTTCTTCAGAAATTGGAGTTAAATGGTTTAAATTTGGATATCTTTTGTATTTGTTTGGATTTTCGTAATAATCATCAACTTCCTTATCAATAATTATTTTGGTTTTATCGTCTAAATCATTTGTTGTTGGTCTCTTTTCAAAGTCCTCTTCTAGCATTAAAGGAAGAACTCTTTTGATTGTTGCATTTTCAATTTCAAGTTCGTTCAAGCATTGAACTACATTCGAATGATTTTCTAAATTTCTTATTCGTTTTCTAGATAACACTTCCAACATTACTAATCCTAAAGAGTAAATGTCACTTTCTGGAGGTACTCTACCTGTATAATTAATTCCTTGATATTCAAATGGAGTTCTTCTTTCACTCGATCTGTATCCTTTTACAATTATTGAAATTCAATTCATTGACCAGCTGAGAAATATTTACTTGTCAACAAAGTGCCATCATATTGTAAATAACTTTTCATCTTCTCATCAAAATGGGAAAACTCTGTGGATGTTTCAAAATCAATAAAAAACCAATGATTGTCATATTTCACAATATTTTCAGGTTTGATATCATTATGTGTCAAATCAGAAAGCTCTAAAAACCTGAGCATGGTTAAGTCTGCGCGTCAATTTCTGCAGCTTTTTGAGGATTTTCTAATAAATCAGCTAGGCACTCTCCTCTTAGACTAATTGAAAAGTTTGCTTTTTGCCATACTGACAAATTTAAAAATTTAAATGGTGGATGAGGTTCTTCTCTTTTCACAACGTATCTAATGCCATTAATCGAGCCATATTTAATCTTTGGATTATCTTGTATTGCTATTTCATAATCTTTTGAAAAGGAAACACGATTGGTTGATACGCTTGTTGGGAAACTAGTTGAGTTTTCTTTTCTTGTTAGGAGAGCTCGTATTCATTTCTTGGGTTTGTTCGGTAGTGAGATATTTCACAACTTGAGCAACTTGTGGAAAGCATAAATTTGAAATTATGGAAACAAGATCTATACTTTGCTTTAGATTAAATTACTATAAGAACCAAAATATGTCAAAGTAAAAGCCAGCTTAATGTTTCATCAACAATACAGTGAACGCCAAACTCAATTACATTTCAGCTA